TTTGGCCATTTGATGCCTTAAAATGACTTGTAATAAAATATATTGACATTATGGTTTACAGAGGAGCCGTATCATGGCCTCTGTGGTGTTTTTACCAAACGGCTCTAAAAACACTTTAGTTTTTTTTTTTTTTTAAGAATGTTTCAGCATAAAGGGCATGGCAATGTTCCCTTAAATGGACAGAATGGCTTATGGGCTTGTTAATGACCCATGTCTGTATTATTGTTGCTAACATTGTTCATTGTTCCTCGTTTTACACTCCATCCCTGCAGAGGGCTTTAGGTTGTGTCTGGAGCCATGAGCTTGGAGATGCTCCAGGATGACGTTCCTCTGAGCCTCTGGGGCTGGAAAGGACAAGAGGGAAGGAAAACAATGAAAGAAGTGAAGAGACTGCAGTGAGGTGGAAATAAATATATAACAGTGTTAAAATTAATCAAAGATAGAGGAAGGAGAGGAAAAAGAAGAAAAACAACAAGGGAGGAAACAACATCGCTCGGAAAGGTAAAGGGTATTGGAAGGTGTAAATTTATCTCATGGTTTAATTAAAAGATAATATAAAACCAGCATATAGTCTAAAAAAAATAGTCTGGAAGACAAAGAGCAAAAGAATTGATGAGAAAAATAGTTTTAAAAAATTACAACGCAGAAGGCAGAGAATCAGATCTTAAAGGTTTAAAGAAATGAGAGATATTAAAATATGTGGAGCAAATAAAGATAAGATAGCAGGTAAAAATGGGAGGTGATATGGGGAAAAGTGATAAAGAGTGGACATGAAAAACCAACAGGGTGAGAAAAAAAGAAGAAAAAAAGGCAAAATGTGAAGAAACAGAAAGCTATTTGAGAAATGAAGGAATGATCAAGGCTATTAGTTTTACTTCATTCAACACAATGTACAGAATCCAGTTTACACGAGTTATTTTATAAATAGTTTTGTTATTTTTTTTAAGTATTAATGTAGCAGAAGCATAAACAATTAGACAGAACACTTTGGAAGTACCCGCAAGTGAGGTTAGGATTTACCTCACACATAAAAATACCAAAAATATAAATTAAAAGGTTTATATTTCTCTGTCATTTTACTTGCTAAAGGTTGCATGCATGTAGTTTTTTGGGGATTTATGTAATTTCCACCTTTAAAATTGTTTGTGTGAAATATTTTCTGCTGAAACAGATAGTGTTTGAGAAAAGCTACATTGTCACACAAAATGGATCGTTTTTATTACATCCTCTCTGGTTATTTTCCTTCTCTTTTGTTTGAGAAGTAACACCTATTACCTATCTGAATAGATAAAAGATCAACAAAATAACTGACTTTTTTTTTTGTATATTCAATTTTAGGTCTTTGGCAGTACAAAGTGAAACATGGTAAAGACATGAAACAATGGTGAAATTCCCCAGAAATAGCTGGTCAACAAAATTTACTTAATTAAATCCATATTGTTGTGAAAGGCTGCAAGATTGTTACTGTGGTAAATAATTAGAAAATACAGAAAAGCAGAGCAGCAATGAACACATATTGTGTGGCAGTTGTCATCCAATTTGCATCTGACATGACGAGGAGCGCCCCACTTAACACAAACCAACACTACCCCTGTTCCCAAACAACAGTCTCAGAGGCATAAAAAAAACAACATCTTCATTTTGATCAACAATAAAAGAGTGGTCACACCATTATGTTGGGTGCAGTAAACACAAAGATTGGAAAGAAGCTAATTGAAGGGAGATGTTGTGGTGTGGAACGGAAAACAATAATCTGATCATGAAGGTGAACAAATCAAGGAAGATGATTGTATATTTTACAGAGTACCTTCAGTCAAAAAGGCTTCTCCAGATTGGGCAGCAGACAATGCTTCCTGCCTACAGCTATTGGTGTCATAGTTCTGGTTCCGTTATGTTTTCTTTTGAGTTTTACTTTGCTCCATGTTCTCTAGCTTTAGTGGCTTAATTCTTATTTTTTTTTCTTGTCTTCTCTGGTTATAGTTTTTATTTGTTGCCCTCTGCTGCCCTCTAGTGTTCTCCTTTTTCCCTAGCTCCTTTCCTGTCTGCCCTGTTCATACCTGCTCCCAATCTGCTCGTTAGTCCTCTCTTTGTTTCAGTCTCCCATAAATACCCTCTCTGTTCAGTTCCTCAGTGCTGGTTCCTCGTCTAACTTCCTCCAACTCCCTCTCTCTGATTTCTCCTCCTCGTCGCGATGGTTTTTCCCCTGATGTCTCCGTGGTATCTGGTTAGTTTGACTTTGTTTTCTTGTTTTGATTTTTTTTATTTTTGGATTCCTGCCTCAGTTATTTGAAAACACTTCATTAAATCTACAAGAAACTCACCTCTGCCTCTGTGCCTCTGCATTTGGGTCCTCAAACCACAACCAAATCCTGACAATTGGCATATACAACAACTTAAAAAAATATTACATAAATAAATAAAAACTGTGTTATGAAAAACATTTAATTTGCCTTTAGGATCAATGTTTTTTTTTATTGAATTACATTAAATCTTTTTTATTATTATGACAATATCTTCTAACTGTTATGATTGCTCTTGTTTCTTTTTTGTTGTTGCCTGTAATCTGTTGACCACAACACTCCAACACAGTGGAAATATGGATCCAATTCTCTGAGTAAAAGACACACATAAGCCTGATAACAAAGAAAATCTGTGTGAAAATTAATATGGTGAGATGTTGGAGGAAAAACAATATTAGTTAGCTAATTACTGTGAATAAAATAAGGTTTCAAAGTCTCAAAAAAACAAAGTTATTGCAGCAAAAACTTAAAAAAATTAGACTTTTGGTTTTTCGGCCAAAGTCTATGCCTGCCCTTTGTCAAATGTTTCAGTTACAACAAAGAATTGTTTTCCAACGTCAAAAACAAAAGGAAGATGGTCAGTTTTGACCTAAATACATATGCAAACTTTTAATTAAGAAAAGAAAACATTAAACTAAATCACAGCAGATTTGTGCATGTAGCTGTGTTATGATTTGATCTGGTGACACGCTGTCCTATTTGCTTACAAACACTTATTTGCCCTGATGTTTTATTTAGTCTTCACTTAAAAAGCATTTAAGGATCATTTGTGTATATCCCCCTGTTGTTGATAAACTAATATGTTGATGTCAGCACGGTCAGTATAATCCTCCTCTTAATGCACTGTAATTATCTCTCTTCTTCCTCTTCCTTCAGTGATGCTCAGCACATACGCACCTTAAGGTTTCTGAGGGAAACATGACAGGACGCTGCATTAGCTCAGCTGTTACAACAGCATTACCATGAGCTCAATTCTTCAGGGGTTTGGAAGAAACAGCTCGTAAAATGTTGTACTGAGATACCTCCAGTTCATCAGCAACTGACTTCAGTTTTCATACAGTGTATCAGAGCCACACATTCATGTTTAAAAACTTAGAAAATAGCTATAACAGAATTTATTTAATGGTCGACGGAATTCGACAAAGTTTAAGAGTTCTCATAGGTCAAGCCAGGAAATGTAAATGTAAATACAAAGTCATCCAGAAATGACCTCATAGCAATAGTCTGAAGCTTTATGTCAGTATTTGTTCTGCTTCATTAATGCAGTTAAAGAGAATCGGATCTGGTATGTGATGCCCTAACTTTGGTGAGTCTTGCTTAAAAAATATAAATGTAAAAAGTGCAAAAATAATGTCCACTATGTCCACCGTCACTTTACCTGTTATTATTGCATATCTATTGTATACTTCACTCATACCTATTTAAATCTGCAATAATTTAATACAATCAATCATTTGCACAGAACTTTACTGTTGTCACTTTATACCAGTGTTGCCTTGTCTGTCTGTATATACTTAATGTATATATATATATATATATATATACATATATATTTTTTTTATTATTATTTTTTTTTTATACTTTGTATTCTTCTTCTTCTTTTTTCCTACTGTACTGTGATGCAACGCTGCAATTTCCCCACTGTGGGACAAATAAAGGATTATCTTATCTTATCTTATCTTATCTTATAACTGCTGTTCTTTTTAAAATTTAAACATTCAGTTCAGTTATGTTTGTCAGCAAATGTTCATGTTCTCAAATAAGCGTTGTCTTTGCGTTTTCTTATTGATATAAATGTTCTGGGTTTTCAGTATGATTAATCTGCAGTTAAATCCTACCCACTATTGGGGAAGTTCGTTCCTAGAAAAAAGGGGATTCTGATGCAGGAGAGGCAATAGCATTCAGCTGTGAAAGATATCCTTATAGCACCACCTGCTGGAGAGAAACACACACTGCAGAAATCTCTGAGCACATAATTGCTCACATTAAAGCTTCAATGAAACAGAAAACTAATGGCAGTAAGCGAGACCCCTTGAGGACAGACAGAAAGAGGTCTTATGGAGGAAGTTTTTACAGAAACAATAAAGCAATAAGGACTGTAATTCGGGGGAGGGGACGGGGGGGGGGGGGGTGTTTGTCAGAGGTGAATAAAACTAAAGGATTGTGGAGAATCAAGAGTAGACTAAAGTTAATAATTGAAAATAGCCTAAATGTCTTTAACTTATTTTCAATAAAGGTGAAAATGCACACATTTACAGCCATAAAATAGTAGATCAGGCTTGCTGTTGTCAATGAAGTTGAAAAAGCCAAAAAGGAACCACTCAGAAGCCAGGGCTGTCAGTCTCTCTGCTGGAAAGAAATCAGCTTTTTGCACAATCTGCTGTTCATACATAAACATTTGTATGCTGCTTATTTCATTTCTCTAACATGATTTTATGTTAAACACATAAAATAAAAATTTTATGGTTGAATTTTTGTGGACAAGCAGAAATTTGACTTTGGTTTACCTTAACATCCTAAATCAACATCATGTTTAACAACACAGAAATAAATCCTGTATATTTTTAATATTAGCAATAAAAATATCAGATCATTAAAATATGGCACAAATATTCACTGACTGTAAAAAGTACAAGTTCAACTGGAGGAGTTAGAACAAACCTGTCTGACTGGAAAAACCTCTGAGAAGAGAATGAAAATATTATTCAGGTAGCTAAACTTAGATGAGACACAGAGTTGGAGCACAAGGGTGAAAAACGAGTGTTAAAAGCTTCAGAAAAGAGGAGAAGAGAAGTTGACTGTGAGTTCAGATACTAAAGGACTTCTACAAAAATGGAGAGGATCTTTAACAACCTGGAAAACTTCCTGAGCTGCCATGTTTGTTCAGAGACTTTCCGAGATCCTGCGTCTCTGAGCTGCAACCACAACTTCTGTTCAAGCTGCCTGCAGCAATTCTGGGAACAAACAAATAGCAGGAGCTGTCCCATCTGTAAAAGAAAATCTTCCAAGGATAATCCATTAGTGAATTTTGGAATAAAGGAACTGGCAGATTCTTTTGCTGGAAGACAGATATCTGGACCATCAGAGACGGAAAAAGGAGAAAATCAGTTGATAGTGGTCTGCAGTGAACACCAAGAAGACCCTAAATCCTTCTGTAAAGATGATCAGAGAGCAGTTTGTCCTGTCTGTGAGTTTTCTCTCCATCAGAGTCACAAAGTGGTTCCTATAGAACAAGCAGTCAGTGAACTGAAGGAGAAGCTGAATTCTGACTTAAAGCCTCTACAGGAAAAGAAAGAAAGATACAAAGAAGTGGAGCAAATATATGATGATATGCTTCAACATCTCAAGGAGCAGCTGTTTTCCACAGAGACACAGATCAGAGCAGAGTTCAACAAGCTCCACCAGATCCTGAAAGAGGAAGAGGAGTCCAGACTGGCAGCTCTGAGGGAGGAAGAGGAGCAGAAGGGGCAGGCTCTCACCGAAGAGATGAAGAGGATTCAGGAGCAGATCTCCTCTCTGTCAGACAGTATCTCTGCTGTTGAAGAAGACCTGCAGAAAAACAACCTGTCGTTCCTCAGCAGCTATAAAGCCACTCAGAGCAGATCCAGAGCCCAGAGCTCACTGTCAGATCCACAGCTGCTCTCAGGAGCTCTGATAGATGTGGCCAAACATCTGGGCAACCTGTCCTTCAGAGTCTGGGAGAAGATGAAGGAGAAGATCCAGTTCTATCCTTTCTTTCTGGACCCAAACACTGCTAATGGACGGCTCCATCTGTCTGATGATCTGACCAGTGTGAGGCACGTAGAGAGCGAACACGACCTTCCTAAAAATCCAGAGAGAATCAGTGATTTCATGCATGTTTTTGGATCTGAGGGTTTTAGCTCAGGAAAACACAGCTGGGAGGTCGAGGTTGGAGACCATCCTAACTGGAATATCGGTTTGGGTAGGAAATCGGCTGACAGTAAGGAAGAGAAACCTTGGATACCAAAATTTGCAAAGTTTTGTTTATGGAAGTGTAGTGGAACATACTGTAATATTGCTGGTAAGCAAATACCAATAAAGAAGAGTATGAAGAAGTTCAGAGTCCAGCTGGACTATGACAAGGGGGAGGTTTCCTTCTATGACTCTGAAAACATGTCTCACATCTACACTTACAGAGAAACCTTCACTGAGATTCTTTTCCCATATTTCAGTGTTGGAAAAAGATTTGATGCTGAAACTTCTGATATCAAAATCTGTCCAACAGACTTTCCTTATTGAAACTTAAAGTTGTGCTTTTGGACTTCCGGTCATGTCGTGGTGCTGAACGGACGTGCGGTGGAGCCCTCTCCAATTTCCTTCTAAATACTAAATTAACAATCTGTTTTTTTTTTTTTTTTTTGCTTCTTGCCTCTTTGGTTAACTGTACTAGTTATCGCTGACCAGATGGCACCAAAGATCATAAAACCGAACTCTAAAAAGGCTTTAATAACGTCTATGCTGAGCCCAGTGCAACAGTCCAGGAGTAGCAGGCTAGCTAGCACTAGCATAGCCTGCAGCGACGGGGCAGCTTCTCCCCCTGTTGGCAGTAACTCTTCGGATATGCCTCTCGTCAACAATGAATCCGCAGCCACAGGGGGAAATGGTCTGGCTGCCATCGAAGCAGGTAGCACCAATGACCTCGTGGCAGCTATTAACTCGATGAAAGATGACTTTGGGAAGAGATTTGATAGCCTGCTGACGGCTATCCAGGGGGTGCAATCGGATATAAAAAGTGTTGCCGCACGTGTTACTCAAGCGGAGGACCGAATCAGCGCTAACGAGGATTCTGTTGCTTCTCTGCAAGCCGATAACACTGCTACGAAAACTACCATTGAAGCTCTGCAACTAAAGATAGACGACCTGGAAAATCGTAGTCGCCGTTCCAACCTCCGTCTTATCGGTCTCCCTGAGGGGACTGAAGGTTCTGACCTGTGTGCATTTCTGGAGAAATTGCTGCCTGAAGTGCTTGGTGCGGAAACGTTCCCGACCCCGCTGATCATAGAGAGTGCACACAGAGTCGGGCGAGTTGACGCTGCGGGGACGCGGCCCAGAGCGGTGATCATGAAGCTGCTGAACTACGCTGACAAAGTCCGGATCATGAAGGCTGCCAGGACGAAGGGAGAAATACGATTGAAGAATAACAGAGTCATGTTCTTCCCGGACGTTTCTGCCGAACTTCTGAAAAAGCGCAAGATATTTGACCGAGTGAAAAAGGATCTATCTTCTATTTCTCTGGAGTTACCGGAGCTGCGCTACGGTGTTGTTCACCCGGCCACACTTTTGGTGACCTACAAGAAGAAACGTCACGCTTTTGACAAGGCAGCAGATGCGGAGTCCTTCGTCCTGCAGCTCCAGCGGGAGCGAAATCTGGTTGCGAACCAGGTAGAGGGCCAATAAAGGTGAACATTTATGTGACTTTGTCAAATTATATCTCACTATATTTGCAACTATGATCACATATTTGTAAGTGCACTTCTATATTCATATCTTTTCAATTCTGTGTTTTGATGGTTTATAATGGTTATTAATGCAGCTCTATTTTGTGTTTAATTCATATGGTCAATTTACAATATGGTTAAGGGTAACCAAGGTTAAGTAATGCAAATGTGCGTTTACTTTCATTACAGTTTATGGGTTGTTAATTTCACTACTGATTATTTGGGGGCTGTGGTTTGATGGGGTTTTTCTATATGCTGTTCCTCTTCGTCTTGATTACTGGGGTGGACCAGCAGGGCTTCATGACTGAGCCTGGATGGCTCCTTGGGAAGTGTTCTCAGTGGGTTGGGTGGGTATACTTCGTTTGGGGATTTATACTCTATTGTCTAATTGTTGTTTGTTGTGTCTATACTTTTTTGTCTTTATCCGTCTTTTTTTCCCTCGGCAGCTCACTCTTAAATATACATACCGTGGCTGAAGTAATTTTTCCTTTTTTCTGATGGCCTCTGACCTTCAATTCACCTCTTGGAATGTAAGAGGTCTAAATTAACTTGTCAAACTTAAACAGGTGATGAACAGGATTCAACAGTTAAAGGCTAAGATAGTTTTCCTCCAGGAGACTCATTTGACCCCTGATGATATTAATAGAGTGAGGAGAAGATGGCATGGTCGGGTTCTTTCTACTTCCTTTAGCTCACATTCGAGGGGCTTAATCACACTAATCCACAGCTCGGTGCCATTCCAGCTCATCAAGGTAACTGAGGATCGATATGGCAGATATTTAATTGTGCAATGTGTGATTCTGTCTGTGAAACTTAATTTGGTCAATATTTACGGGGCAAATAATGATAACCCTGCTTTTTTTAGACACCTGTTTCTGTCTGTAGCGTCGCTTCTTGGAGGGTACATCATAGGAGGCGATTTTAACTGTACGCTCATTCCAACGTTAGACAGATCTACAGGCAAAGACGTCTCTCATGCTCAAACAAGGAAAGAATTACTTAACTTTATGAAAGAACTCAATTTGGTAGACATTTGGAGAAATATGCATCCTAATCAGCTTTCTTTCTCATGCTGTTCTGGTACTTGCCAAACATTTTCAAGAATTGATTACTATTTAGTCTCAGCTGATCTAGTTCCACTCATTAGTAATAGTTGGCATGACAGTATAGTAATATCCGATCATGCTCCGGTGTCATTTTGCCTTAAGGTTCCTAATCTTTCCTTTTCATCTAAGTGGCGTCTACAATCAATTTGGCTTAGGGACCCAGATTTCATACAATTTATTGGAACAAAAATAGATATGTATTTTGAATTGAACACCCACCAAACCTCGGCTACTGTGAGATGGGAGGCCTTTAAGGCATTCTTAAGAGGCCAAATGATTAGTTTTACCAGCTTCAAACATAAAACTAACAAACAAGAATTGGAACAACTAGATAATTCTATTAAAAACATAGAAATACAACTATTTCAGAATCCTTCAACCCAACTAAACACAGAACTTCTTAGGTTAAGAGCTAAATACAACATGCTGTCTACAAATAAAGCAATTAAAAGTTTAATGAGACTAAAACAATCATATTTTGAACAAGGTGAAAAGGCTAGTAAATTGTTGGCTTGGCGTATCAAACAGGAACAAACAGATAAAGCAATAAATTCAATTCAAACAGCTGAAGGGGAGTTTACATCTGACCTAAAAGAAATAAACAGCACGTTTTCAAAATTCTATTACAAATTGTACAGCTCAGACTATTCAGACTTAGCTCCCCAGGCACAAACTATTTTCTTGGATTCATTAGAATTTACTCCCCTAGATAGTGAATCCTTAAAATCGCTTGATTTTGAGCTCAATGCACAATTGTTATCTGAGGCTATATCCGGTATGAAGGGTGGTAAGAGTCCGGGGCCTGATGGAATTCCAATTGAAATATATAAAATTTTTCATTCCAAACTGATACCTCCTATGCTAGACATGTATCAAGAATCCTTTAGTAAAGGATCTCTCCCTCCCTCACTTAATACAGCAATCATCTCCCTTCTCCTGAAGCCAGGTAAACCTGCAACTCAATGTAGCTCATATAGGCCAATTTCTCTTATTAATAATGATGTTAAAATTCTGTGTAAGGTGTTAGCTGGGAAGTTGGAGCTACTTTTACCCAAGATGGTCCACCCTGATCAAAATGGTTTTGTACAAGGAAGACAGGGTTTTCACAACATCAGAAGGGTGTTTAATGTAATTTTTGAAAAATCTGAAGCTCCAGACAATGCCATCCTGTCACTAGACGCAGAGAAGGCCTTTGACAGGATAGAATGGCAATATATGTTTGCTGTTATGGAACGCTTTGGTATAGGAGGGAAATTTCTTAGCTGGATAAAGTTGATTTACTCAAACCCACAAGCTGAAATTTTAACCAATGGTTTAACTTCATCTCCTTTCAAACTAAAACGTGGAACAAGGCAGGGCTGCCCCCTTTCTCCCCTGTTGTTCACATTGGCCATCGAACCTTTGGCTATGGCAATTCGCAAACATGATAATATAACTAGTATAAGATTAGGGAGCTTAGAGCATCGTATAGCCTTGTATGCAGACGACATAATCTTGTTTTGCTCCAAGCTGGATAGCACCATCTCCACAATAGCTGATTTAATTAAGTCCTTTGGAGTTTTCTCAGGCTATAAGGTAAATGATGCTAAATCTGAAATACTGTACCTATCAGAAAACGAACGCCTCAATCCCCCAGTTTCAACTCCTTATGTAGCGTCTAAACATGGATTTACTTTTCTAGGTGTTAAAGTTACCCCTACAATAAATAATATCATTCCAACTAATTATAACCACCTTACAGAATCAGTTATGCAATTAATAGAAAGATGGTCTAGACTACCCATTTCCTTAATAGGTCGGGTCAATATTATTAAAATGACAATTTTGCCAAAATTTTTATACCTTTTCCAATCAGTTCCACTTTCCCCTCCCCCCTCCTTCTTTAAGGAGATAAATAAAACTTTTTCCAATTTCATTTGGAACGGTAAGCGTCCTAGAATGAGACTGTCCCTTTTATATCTACCTTATGACAGAAGTGGTCTACAACTGCCTAATTTATTATAGTATTTCTGGGCAGCCCAAATCAGGGCAGCTATGTTTTATTTTGTTTCCAAAGAGCCTCCAGCGTGGGTTACAATGGAGTCCCAGCATATCTCTATTCCTTTAAACTCATACTTGTATTCATCAGACAGGAAAAAACTTATTAAAAAAACAAAAAACCCGTTTTTGAAAAATACATTGCTTATCTGGCAAAAAGTATTTGAATATTTGGGAGAAGGGCAACAACTATCCCAGTTCTCACCCATTTTTGGAAACAGGGAATTTGGTCCAGGTAGAGCAGACCTAGGTTTTAAACTCTGGTCTGCTAAGGGGTTAGCTAAGGTATCTGATCTTTTTATAGGAAGAGTATTTATGTCATTCACAGAACTTAAAAATAAACATGACATTCCCACTAAACATTTCTATAAATATCTGCAAGTTAGGAGTTTCATTTTATCCAAGCAACAAAATAATCTTGATCTGCCCCCCTTGTCTTCACTAGAAGACATTATTGTAAATCACCTATATAACAGAGGACAGGTGTCTCTAATTTATTCCTTGTTTGTTGACAAATGTAAAGAATCTCCGGCCAACATCCTAAAAGCATGGGAAGCGGACTTGGGTGGGAACTTGTCGAGTGAGGAGTGGTCAGAAGCCTGCAATTCGATTCATACACAATCTGCTAACACAAATTCCAAATTGTTACAATACAAATGGCTGACTAGGCAATACATCACTCCAGTTAAATTGCATCATTTTAACCCTAATATTCCTGACACTTGCATTAAATGTACTTCCCAAAAGGGTTCTTTATTTCATTGCATGTGGGCGTGTCCTCGAGTGTTGGCGTTTTGGAAGGATGTATTGATTGTGATAGGTCAGATGATAGGTAAAAAGGTTCCTTTGAATCTTAAAATGTGCATCTTGAATATTTATCCTGAAGACTTTGTTATCCCAAACAATAAGAGATCCTTACTTAATGTCTCCTTTTTGGAAGCCAAACGCTGCATTGCACTCTCTTGGAAGAAAGAGTCTTTATGTGGAATTTCTCAATGGACCACGCAAATGACGTTCTACTTTGCACTTGAGAAAATCAGTTATTTTACTAAGAATAAGCTTGATAAATTCTGGGTGGTCTGGTCTGTCTTTTACACTTGGCTGTGTCAAAATGATATCCAACTTGATGGTTGGAAAAAAGATTGGTTATAAGGCCTTATGGTGAGGCAAACTGATGTTTATGTAGGTTAGTCTATTGAGGGTCTGCTGCACCCCCCCCCCCCTTTTTATTTATTTATTATTTTATTATTATTATTATTTTTTTTTTTTTTTTTTTTTTTTTCCTCCACCTTGTGTATATGTACTTTGGGTTTTTGTCTGGTCAAGTTTAATTATTTGTAAGTGTATATATGTATGTTTCTTGTTCTCCTGTTAAAATCAATAAATAAATGTTAAAAAAAAAAAAAAAAAAGTTGTGCTTTTCTATTCTCTGAAGTCTTTGCAGTTATGAAAACCCTTCAACATATTTATCATAGAAAGATTTGCTTTTTTTTAGAAGGTTGAGCGGGGGTGGGGAGGTGTGTTGGAGCTGGGGAGGTGTTTAACAAGGTGCTCTAAGCACAGCATATAGTGCATATATATTGAGTTATTTCTGTGTTTTTATCAAATTCAAGAACACAAGCGGTGTGAAAAGGGAAAACATTTTTAAAGCAGACATTATTTGAGACTAAAATCATTACATACAGATAGACATTTAGAAAATTATTTTTCTGGGAAAAATTTCTCAAAAATAGATTAAGAAACTTTGTTATTTTTTAGTACAGAAAATATTTTTGAGATGAGATCAAGAACACATCAGACTCTAACATCCAAATCTGAATCAGTCTCTTAACAATCATATTTTAAAGTTGTTTTTTTTCAAACCAGATCTACTCTCATCTTTATACTGTTATAATCTATTTCACCCCCATAGGACTATTTTCACACTAAATAATTCTAACAAGGATCTTTTTTTTTTTAAGTAAAATCCTAAGTTCATGAAAGACACAAAGTGCTCAGATTCCTTATTTGGATTTTCTTCTTTGTCTTATTTTTTATTGTAACAATCATTGTAGCAAATAAACTGAAAATAAAAACCCCCAATACTGTTTTCTCTCCCTGTTCACTGATATATTCATTTTTTATACCTCAATACAAACATATTTCAGTAATATTACTGCTGAAATTCATCTGTGTTGTATTCTTTTGAAAATGTACTCTAAAATGTATTCAGTTTTAATTGGCTGTTGAGAAAATCTGTTGTTCACTGACCTTCAAATTACAGTAAGAACACAGTTGCTACTTAGATGAAAATTGTGCTTATCCTGCCAAGTTTTCTGATAAAACATCCACTAGAACATTCTGATGCTAAAAGATGCTTCTTGATTATTCTTTGTTAAAGCATTTTGTCTCTTATCCAGGAGACTTCTTTGGTGTAATAAGTTACAAGTTAACTCAGCTGAATCAAACTGAATGTATTTAGTTTTAATTGGCTTTTGAAAAAATCTGTAGTTGACTGACCTTCAAATTGCAGTCAGAACACAGTTTCTACTTAGATGAAAATTATTATGCTTATCCTGCCATTATTTCCCTTAAGTCTTCTGATAAAACATCCACTAGAACATATGGCTAATGCTAAAAGAGTGTCCATGCAAAGATTTTCTAAATAAAGTTTAGATGCAACAGCCCTGGATAACATGCAGGTGTCCGAGCCAGGTCAATGAAACAGAACAGGAGTGCTCAAAACCGGAACAGGGTTCCAGGAGCTCACAGAAAGTTCGGGCAGAATGTTCAGAGAGGAACGGGCACACTTAGTGGATTAGAGGCAGATCAGGAAACCAGAAACACTACAGAACGCTGCTAGTGATGGTGAGATGTAGCCTAATGAGGCATTGAAAATTTCTTCAATGAACCCTACAGTTTATGAAGCCTCCTGTTAACAGGTCACCACCTACTGGTGGAGTGCATAACTACAGTTAGCAATACAATCTGATATGCATGCAATTGTTTGTGCTTTTGTTCCCATTTAAGTTACTTTGAAATTGTTCATGATTGGTGTGTTTAAAATCCTTTGTAAGGTTTTGTGTGTGTAACATTTCTAAGAGAACAATCTTTTAAGGTACACCGGCTGTCATTTTTGGAACATAAGTGAAAGTGCATGTGGAGCTTGGGCAAATAGAAAGGTGTTATTAATTTTTATTAAAGAATAATTTATCAGTCTGTTCTTTTTTGGATACAACTTCACCAGCCATGGGAAACACTTGTTCAGAAAGCACTAAAGATGCTGGCATGCATAAAACACATGTGCAAGTCTGTATAAACTGGGGTACCAGAGTTTTTTCCCCTCCCAATACTCCAATGGATTTTCCGTGCAACTTATGTTGGTCTCCAGAAGGTAGCTCTGGACTTCATCAGTGGCATCTGTAGTCGCATTTCATGATTTTCTGGCCTTCATTCAATCAATCAATCACGCTTGCATCTGAACGATGCCAGAGCTTGCTACCTAAGCGAGAAAAGCAGAGGTTAGCAAGAGAAAAATGTAAAAGTATAAAAGATATAACTGGTCACAAAATAATAAATTGCTGCCAGTGGTATCATGAGAATCTGGGGTGTTTTAAAGCTCTGTCCAGAAGGCATCATTGTGGGACATTCAGAGATCAGTCTCCTAATGGCCTCGGTGGCTTTAGTGTGGCTGAAAAGACCAATTACTTTGAATCTGGGATCAAAGAGGGTAGCTAGAGCTGGGAAGCTCAGATTGTAACAGTGGAAGCCTGTCCTGTAGTTGCCTGATGAGGTGTTCTCCAACTTCGAGTGAAGCAGGTGGTGCTGGTTTTGATCTCCTCCTGAAGGCTCTGCTCCAACATCTTCATGAGGGGAATGACTTTGGAAGCAGAAACAGTCTCCTCTGTAGACAGCTCAATGGTAGCATCATAGAATGGATGCAGCAAAGAAAGGAATCCTCCAACGATGTCAAACTCATCAGATGTTGAAATAGGAATGTCAGATTGCAGACCAGCTAATGCTGTTCCAACTGGTTCCTCCAACTCAATCAAACACTGCAACAATAAGTATGTGCTGTTCCATCTGGTTTCCACCTTTTGAACACACAGATAAATATACAATTGAGTCACTGTAGTAATAATATAAAACAATTAGATTTCTGATAAACTGTAATAATAGGAAAGTGCATTCCTTAGCATTGGAGCTCCTTCTAAAGTAGCCAACCAGCTTCCGTGCTTTGGCCCTGATGCCAAGGAGCACAGGGTGCTGGAGGTCTTCAGCACCAGATCATTGTGTGGGCCATGCAAAAATGATGCCAAAGCTTCAGCTCCCTCACACAGGCAACCATATTAGGAGCACCATCAGACACGATACAAGTCACCTTGTTAGATATGCGCCCCTCCTCCATCATGCATGTTTTCACACAAGCTATATTTTCTGAAGTGTGTGATTGGAGGAATGACTGCATTCCCAGCAGCACTGCATTTAGCCTGGTGTTGTCATCCAGAAAATGACATTACAGCCAGGTAGGCATCCATGTTGATGAATATCTACATATCAATAGTGAGGTCAACAGCTGCCATCTCTCCTACTTTAGCCTTAGCCTTCTCCTTAGCAGACTCAAACTTTTCTTACACCATAGCCTTTAGAGCCTAAAGTAAAAACATAGAGCTAAATCATGAGCAAAGTACTCTGTCATACATCCATAGATACCTGTTGGAACATAATTGGGAATCAAATTGGCCACTGAATCCAACCCCATCCCCAATTCTGAAGGGTTGTGTATCCTTTACTACAATATCGACTAGGAGCTCATCCAGCCCTTGCTTCCTGGTTACAAATAAATAAATACAGTGTCCATTACCCACTTTGGTTATTATCAATTTACTCAATAAACAAAATACAATAAAGAAAAATGGTGGCTGTGTATGTATACTATTCTGAGAACTTAATGCAAGGCACAGTAGTGCCTCAGCATGGAGGAGTTGTTATTGTATACAAACTCCTTGGAACAAAATAAACACTTCACCTATAAATACATTAAGAGTCAATGAAAACAAAAGGTTGAAAAAATATATTGAATCTTGAAAAGGTTAGATTCAATACATCCATCTTACCTTAGTGGGGGAAATGAGGTTGAACCCCCCATATTGGTGAACTCCTCCTCTTTCTAGCTGGCTTCATAGTACCTATCCTCTCCACTATCTCCAAACTCTAAACCCTCTGCAAACTCTCACCAAACTATCAAAACTCTATCAAAACACCCAACAGATTTTAACTCTCCTACAAACTCCCACAGCTTGACTGAGTATTGAGGCTGTTTAAAGGTACACTATGCAACCGGTGTTGATTTTCCAGCGAGGCTCCCCCCAGAGGGCGAAAGTAAAAGTGCACTGTCGTAAATATGCTCAGCTGTTCTCCTGGTTTCTCCGTCAAGCCAGGCGCGGTTGTTTTGAGTTTAGCAGACAGGCGAACGCAACGAATGACTAACACACAGTGAAAGTATGAACATGCACACAGAGAGAGACAAACCATTCCAATGTTACTTACAATCGCATCAGCAGAAACGCGAGGTCCGCGTCAGCCTTGCAGCCTTCTTTTTATTTTAGCTCTCGCCATTCGGAAAAAGCTTGCCCGATGTTCACCCGTGTACGACTCCTCTCTCTGTCCGGAGCCCTTTTCCTCTTTCTTGCCTGCTCCGACATGGGCTTTCGCTGTTTTCACGCTGGTTCCGCCATGATAACTGCACAAAGATCGCCACTGTGCTAGCAACGAGCATGCTTTTAACTGGGGGCGTGTAGCAGTTCTCGCCGTAAAGCAAGACCGACTCTCGCGAGACTTCTGAGCCTGTGGGTGCGGGCCGAGGGCTCCTGCAATTGCAAGTGCGGTATTTCCCCCACAGACCACCAGGGCGGCCGAGAATACCTTTGTTCAACCTGAAATGACTCATTTAATCATCCAAAACGTTATGGAATACATTAACTGAAAAATGTTACATAGTGTGCCTTTAAATTCCTGTCGAAGTTTGCATGCAATCTGAACCCCTTCCTGAAGCGGTCAAATGGTAAAGCCTTAGCTCATTGCATAACATCACTACTAAAACCCTCTCATCATTGGTCCCCAATGACGCGACCAAGAACAAGAGCAATCATCTGTTCCCAATGGCTGGAACTGAGCCGTATAAATAGAAGCAGGAGCAGGTGGATTAGATGAGCAGTAATGAGCAACAGGGCAGAATTGGACAGGTGATTAGATTTGGCAATTATGCCAGCCATCAGTGCCAAGATCATGACATTCTCTTCACATAGATTTTCAGAAAAAGAAAAACACACATAGCAGAGATTTATCGAAGATGTACTGTAGACTTAAAGCTTCAATGAACGATTTCTCTTAAGGACAGTTAGACAGGAAGACAGGAAAAGGTCATGTCGAGGGAGTTTTTCTAACATGAAGCAATAAGAAGCACGATTATGACTTTTAAAAAATTATTTTAGTAACATCCCCAGATCCCCAGAATTACAAAAAGCCTTGCGCACACAAATTTCACTCAAATAACTCCTTGCAAGTAGTAGGCATGAATAATATTAAAATTTTACAAAGCCTTTAACAGACAACCTAATGGTTTAGAGAGAAGTTGAAAAAACATACAGTTTCAGTGAATCGGAAAGATAAATTGGGACTAAAATAAACACATGGAAAAATGCTAAATGTGAATATTTTTTCCAAGTGCATATAAGCATATTAATAATCCTTTAACAGTAGATCGGGCTAGGTAGGCTAGTTAAGGCATTGGTGAATTTACCTTACCAGAAAAGAAAAAAAAAACAGTAATCAGAATAAAAGGTAGGAGTTCAGTGACTATACAAGGAAATCATAATTGGTTAAAACAGAAGCAACCTGTTTACCTGGACTAATTAGAGAACTTGTTTAACTGGAAATGTGCAGCTGAAAATATGGTTTAATCTTCATTGTCTTTTAACTAAGAGAGAGAGAGACGCATTTACAGGCTAGGAGATCCTGATGGAAAAACAAAGGTTTCAGGAAATTTGGAGGAAAAGGAGAAGAAGCTTTGATGCATGGATTTCTAACTAAAGGACTTCTATGACAATTCTTCAAAAACCTCTGATATTGAACATTTCCTGGGCTACTGTGTGTTTTAG